GTTTGCAACGTCAAATTGAATATTTGGAGGTTAGGAGGGTTATATTTTGCAATTTGCATTTTGGTTTATACTTACCTTGTTGAGTTTACCTCACTGTTGTGGTAGCTTTTGCCTGCATAGGTTTTGTAGTTCGTTTTAAATTTCATTGTCTGCGAGGTAACGATTCGTTCAGGTAAGTTAAATTTATCCTTTCATTACAATATAATTCATATTTGTGTACTTTTATAAGAATGTCGACAACAGAACAAACATTAAGCAACAAACGTGTACGTGGTGCATTATATAATGAATAAAACAATGACACTGAATTTGTTGTTTATTTACAAAATTCTATAAAATCAAAATTTTAACTTACAAATTAGCAAAATATCGATTAATAAAATCTGTCCTTGCATTATTAACTAAAATATTGCCATTTACTGCAACAATAGGTACATGGGGAATTTGACCCTCATCTATTAAGGGCCGGTCTTTTCATGTCCCAGATAAAGTGTCCGATAACTATCATCCCGATAACTTTACCTGGCGGTCTTATCTTCTAAAAATAAGTTCGTACCGTCTTCATTTTGCAACTGTTAGACATGGGTCTCCGATAACAATCAGCTAGTCCAGCTGTAAGCGAGAGAGTGGGAGCTATTGGTATTCTAACATGAATAAGAGAGAAAGACTATTTGCAACTGGGTTTGCAACAGTTTTTGACGTTCGAAGTCGTACCGTTGCTAACATAACCTCATTTACTTCGTATATTATCGTTTTATTTTGATTACGCTATGGATGTCTACGAAGATATCGACATATTATTTGATGCAGATTTAATAAATGTGATCGAAGAAATAAATCCACATCGAACATACAGGGTGTCCCAGAATTCGCGCCATTCCCGTGAATGACATGTTCCCTGTCCCGAACTGTGCCTTAATTCGCAAAAAGAATTGTCCAAGCTTTAACCGTGTGAGAACTGGAAGGCGATTAAGTTGACCAATAGAGAGGCTGCTTTTATATCCGAACGTTTCTATGTTCAAAGTTACCTATGACAAGAACAAAAAATCGGGTAATACTAAAGTTGAATGATTTTTTTCCGAATCCCCCTCCGTCAACAAAAAGAAACAGAAGTGTGGTTATAAATTTAATCATTTTGACAATTGTTTGTCATAAACTGTCACGAAGTTCATCACTGACCTGAAGAGACGCTTCTGCGCCAAAGATGACTGATTAATGTACACAGACGTTAAGGTTTACTTTAAGGCAAGTAGCATGGGACAGAAGTTATTTCTGCTGCCATTCTAGTTAAATTGTGTTTAACTGGGCTGTACATGTCATAAGAGAAGCTGTTTCATTTCATCGTAGGCAAATAATACATTTATTACTATTCTACATAGTGTAGATACCGAAGAGCAGGTACTAGAAGTGATTTTCTTAGAGCCCCGTGAATAATGTGTTGTTCTTTTTAACGAAAATTAGTACATTTTCAACATGCATCATATGCCTGATATTAAGTTTATCGTTATTTCTAAAAAAGAGTACCACATGTCCATTCAAAGAACGTTATTAAGTATACTAAAACATAAATATCGCTTTTGATTAATCGGTGCTTATGATTTTCAATAAACAGTATCAATTTTTACTGAACAGCTTTGTTGCTGATACCTAGTCTAAGCAACGAAAAAAGAGACGAGACTCCACTTCTCTGGTGTATTAAGATCATAGGTATCTGCTGTGGTGTCAATCATGTGGGGGAGATACTGAAAACTGAGACTTATTCAAGAATAATATTGATGTTGCACATGATGATTTAAAACAGTTTCTTTAAAATTGTGAGTACTTTCTAGAGATTGAAAAGATACGAATAAAAATTATAACAAAAATCGTTTAGTTGCAATTTTTTTTAAGAACAATACAAACTATAAACAAATCAGTACCAATACCACTAAGTTATTGATGTCTTATTCATACTAGTATAAAGAATATTTGGAAATGATGTTAATTTATGGAGAATGTACACCCTATGCAGCCACTGCTGTGCGCGAATATACAGGTCTTTTCCCCAATCATCGGCTCCTTGACCAGCATGTGTTTCGTCGTTTGTTGCATCCAGCAAAAGAAGGTGGATCTTTTCAGCCTATTCGGAAAGCCGTGCTGGGGCTCCACGGATTATACGCATAGACGGTGAAGAACAAGTGACACAAATGATTGGATGCTCAAGATCGATCATGCATCGTATCCTTACAGAGAAAAATCTGCATCCTTACTATTAACGAAAGTGCAGCATCTGCGACGAGCCGACTGCGCGACGAGTGCATGTTGCTAAATGGTTACTGCGACAAAATGAACTAAATCCTGATTTTTCACGGCACATTCTTTTCGCCGACGAATGTTGATTTTCCCGAAAAGGAATATTTAATGCGCACAATTGGCACTTCTGGGCAAACGAAAATCCACATTTCGCTAACGTGAGAGCATATCAAGAGCAATACTATTAATCTATGGGCTGGAATCGTTGTACTGTAACGTTATTAAACAATGTGCTCAAAATGACCACCATTAACTTCAATGCAAGTTCTAGCTCGTCGAATTATGTTGTGTTGTGTATTATTTAACATCTCAGGAGTAACTGTAGCGTAGGCTTCGTGCAGTCTCTCTTCCAGTTCTTCTAACATATCTAGGGGTTCTCTATATAGGTACGTAATTTTTAATTTGATTCCAAAAAAAAAAGTCCAAAGCAGAAAGGTCTGGAGATCTAGGAGGCCAGATGTTAGTACTGCCACCTATGACGATACTCTTTTCAATGTTCGTCGTACAAGTATCGAATTATGTGGAGGAGCGCCGTCGTGCTGAAACCACATATTCCGCCGTACATTCAAAGGAACGTTTTCCAACAATGGTTGGTCGCAGATGCTGCACTCTCGTGTAATGGTAAGGATGCAGTCTTCTCTCTTGAAGGATACGATGAGTGGTCGATCTTGAGCATCCACTCATTTGCGCTACGTAGAGGACACTTCTCCTAGGATCCGCTTCCATGTTTTCTAACACTTGCTCTTCAGCACCCACACGTACATTCCGTGGAGCCCCAGCACGGCCTTTCCGACTAGGTTGAAAAGATCCATCTTCTCTTGCTCGATGTAACAATCGGTGAAACACATGTTGGTCTGGGTGCCGACGATTATTCACGGGGCTCTAAGAAAATGACTTCTAATACCTGCTCTTCGGTAGCTACTCTATGTAGAATAGTAATAAATGTATTATTTGCCTACGATGAAATGAAACAGCCTCTCTTATGACATGTACAGCCCAGTTAAACACAATTTAACTAGAATGGCAGCAGAAATAACTTCTGTCCCATGCTACTTGCCTTAAAGTAAACCTTGATGTCTCTGTGTACATTAATCAGTCATCTTTGGCGCAGAAGCGTCTCTTCAGATCAGTGATAAACTTCGTGACAGTTTATGACAAACAATTGTCAAAATGATTAAATTTATAACCACACTTCTGTTTCCTTTTGTTGACGGAGGGGGATTCGGAAAAAATTCATTCAACTTTAGTATTACCCGATTTTTTGTTCTTGGCATAGGTAACTTTGAACATAGAAACGTTCGGATATAAAAGCAGCCTCTCTATTGGTCAACTTAATCGCCTTCCAGTTCTCACACGGTTAAAGCCTGGAAAATTCTTTTTGCGAATTACGGCACAGTTCGGGACAGGGAACATGTCATTCACGGGAATGGCGCGAATTCTGGGACACCCTGTATACTGTTCGCGAAAGGAGAGATCATTTCAACTTTTGGAATGACCAAGAGTTTTTCAATCGTTTTCGCCTTTCAAAAGCCACAGTAGGATTATTATTTAACGAAATTCAAGAGTATTTACATCATCGGACCGGAAGGCAAAAATAAATAGGTAGTATTAGACGTACTATTAATTTGTGTTAATTTAAAACATGAATTTAGATCGAGCTATTCGTCCTATGGATTAACTACTTTTGACGTTGCGATTTCTGGCCACCGGAAATTTTTATATTTGTATAGGTGATTTTATGGGAGTCCATAAATCAACAGCAGCAAAAATAGTTCAACGTGTGGTAACAGCAATTTGCACGTTAAGAAGGATTTATATTTTTATGCCGAATACTGAGGAACAAAGACACGAGAAAATTATTAAATTTCATAATTTGGCATAATTTCCACGAGTGATCGGGGCAATAGACTGTACGCACATAAAGTTACAATCTCCAGGAGGTGAGCGTGCGGAATTATTTCGATGTCGAAAGGGCTTTTTTTCATTGAATGCCCAAGTTATTTGTGATGCCAATCATAAAATTTTGGATTTAGTGACACGTTGGCCAGGTTCGACACATGATGTCCCAAAATTCATCTGTATATATGAGGTCTGAAAATGGCGAGATGGGCAATGGAATTTTATTAGGAGATAGTGGCTATCCTTCTCGAAGGTATCATTTAACTCCGATTCATAATCCTGAAGGACAGACAGAAAATCTTTATAATGAATCACAAATAAGAACTAGGAATGTTGTGGAGAGAACATTTGGAATTTGGAAGCGTAGATTTCCGGTCCTAAGTGTGGGTATAAGGTGTCGGCTGAATTTAGCACAGAGAATTGTGGTGGCATGTGCCATTTTACACAACATTGCCTGCCAACAAAATGAAGAAGTTTTTGAAGGGGATGATGAAGAGGATCTGCCTGTGGTATATAATGGTGTAGAAAATAACGATGGTGGTGTTGAAGAAAGGGAAACAATAATTGATTATTTTCGAAATATGTTGACTGCAGGTGGATTTATAATTTAGTACATGCATATGTATTATTTGTTTAATGCAAAATAAAAAAATGTTTTATTTTTCTAGCAACTCTAGTGTTTTTTTTTAATCGATAATTCACATTCTAGTAACTCCATTTTTTTTAAATACAGTTTCTGTTCCCTCTCGATTTCTAAATCCAAAGCGGCTAATTTTTGTTTCTGAATTGCCATTTTTAATTCATGTTCTTCAACTCGATGAAGCTCCTCGTTTTCCAGGTACTTCTTCTGCAATTCTACAAGGTTATGACGTGAGTTCACCACATTCTCCACTTTCACCGTTAATTGGTCCTTGGTACAGTGCCCCTTTGCCTTTTTTTGATTTAGGAGAGGATGTTTTTTTGTTTTTAGTTGTGCAGGAGACCATCCCGTCCATTTAATATTTGAGTTCACTCCTGTACGTGAACCCTACAATCATTGCAATTGTTAAATGATATTTTACCGAGTATAGGCTCCTTACCTCTCCTCCGTCCTTTGAGCAAACCTGCAAAAGTCCCGGGACGATGGATTCCTCTGTTTCAGATGGATCAACATGTGCCTCCTGCAAATGCAAGTTAACGATTAGCAAAAAGAGTCAAATGACTAATTAAAGCAGAACTTATACATCAATTATTATTTGTGGCACTTGAGCATCTGATGTTAGATCCTCATTGACTGCAATTTCAATGTTCGGGTTATCTGATGTTTCACCATTCATTGCTAAAACATTGAAACAATTGTTTATATTTCAAAATTAATATCTATTTATATAATATCCATATTTTTATTGTGATTTTATGAAGAAAAAATTGATGTAGAGCAATAAACTTGCATATTTTGGAGGAATGTTTGATACTTTTGCTTAAATTAGCGATAGTGACAGTAAAAAGGTGAATGCAGCCCATGTATTCTCACCCATAGGAATCAATCCCTCATCTGAATAAAATTCTGATGGAAGTCCATTGACAGGCACTGTTAGGGACTCTAACAGTTCGGTCTCATAATCTTCGAAGCTCACATACTGGGAAGATCCGCCACCAGTTTTGTACGTTTCTTTTTTATTGAACGCAACTTTGCGTTTTATATCTCTCTTCGTCGCTTGGTACTTTCGACGAATCCTTTCTGGTGTTCGGATTACATTTCCTATTTTTTATTACAATATACGAGCCCTAACAACTAAATATTGGGACACAGACAATTTCTCAAAAAAATCCGGTATATATTTTTGATATCATTCAATTCGTCTGGACTAAATGCAAATTTTGCATGGGCATCTATTTTGGCAGAGAGTGAGGTATTTTGCAAATTAATAAATTTTCTTAGAGCGCAAAAATTGTCACCTAAATAAAAAATGTGCCATTTTTGCTGACACATAAATGTTGGGACACCCGAGAAAATTTGCTAAGTATACCATCGAAATACAAACGTAGTGGCTGGTAAATGCTGCCATTATTATAGGGATCGTAGCATTTCATACTAGTGTTGGTTTCACTTAGAAGAAAATAGTTAGTGGTGGGCTAGTTTTAGTAAAATTTCTGAAAATAATAATTTCGCAGTACTGCGTGGGAAAATCGATAAAAAAAAGGTGAAGATTTGTTTTAAATAGCTTAGTCGTCGATGGTAAACATCGTAAAATATTACGCAGACAGAGGTACCATAGGAATAAAAGGTAAAATTCCCGGTAGGCCACCACTTGTGAAGCCGCGTGATCAACGACAACTGATGAAAAATTTATAAAAGTGGACGACGGAGTACTTCAAGAGAAATTACTACTTGCTGGAATAGCGATAACCAATTAAATGTTTCAAGACAATATTGTCGCGAGTGGATACACAAATCAGGCCTTGGTTTTTACATTGTAAATCTTAAATAAAGCTATCTTTGATGGACTTTATTATTTATTTATATTATGTTAGGCTAAAGTACAACCACAATTAAAAACTGCCCATAAGAAAAATTGGTTAATATGACCAAAATAAAAATTGGAGAAAAGTAATATATAACGCTGAGTCCAAATTTGATGTATGGGTGAGATAATAGTCGAAAAAGAGTTATTGAAATAAAAAAGGAATTTTAATATGGATTATCTTAAACAATCAGTCAAGTTTGCAAGCGGAAAAATGGTTTGGGGGTGCATGTCTATTAACAGAATTTAAAGACCAGTTAACAACGTTCATGGAAAGGAAATTACAAATTCAAACAAATGTCAAGAGACTTTGTAAAAAAATATTAACAACTACTGAAGCAGTCTATCCTGTTGATATTTATATTTTTCAACAGGATGACGCTTCAAGTTACACACCTACAACACTTATTACAAAGAATAATAATATAAATGTTTGCCCTGACCATTGAATAGCCCAGATCCTAATCTAGTAGAGACGGTATGGCGTGAAATAAAAAAATATTTAGGAAATCATCCATGACAAGCGATTGTCAATCTTCAACAAGAAATTTAGCGAGTGTAGGATACGGTAACAACTCCTGTGTATTGCAGAAAATTAGTTGAAAGTATGATGGCAAGAATTCCTGCAGTTATTAAGGCAAAAGGAGATATAACCAATTATTGAATTTGCTGTGTCCCAATATTTATGTGTCACAAAATGTTACGTTGTTTTAGAGTTTTATGTCACTGTTTGAGTTAGAAATCAGTTTTTGTTGTGCTGTAAACGTTAACAGTCTTGCAAAACGAAGTAATTTTAAAATTTTAATTATCTAAAATAAATTACATTTTTGTTAAAAAGTTTGGTGATTTTTTTATAAAAATTTTTTGGTGTCCCAATATTTAGTTGTTAGGGCTCGTATAATAAAAATATAATTTATATAACATGTAAAATAAATAACTTGCCTGTTATTGGATTGTATTCGGCAGCAATTTCTTTCCACGTCTCCTCTTTCTGCTTCCACGTGACGGAATCGGTTCTTTTATTTTCAGTAATATGCGCCCTAGTAGCAATCATTTTTAAAAGCCGCCTTGTTTCGGCCTTCGTGTAATTTGGCTCCCTCTTCCGTTTTTCTTCATTTTCAATTTTTCGTTTGCCCATTTTTTTTATATAATAAAATCACTCACGATTCAAATAAAAACAACACCTACAACACATAACCTATAACGGTCTTTGGCAGAAATGGACACGTCGACAAGTGAGCAATCGCGTAAGTTTGCTGCGCCATCGGCTGTCGCCGTCAGATATCTGTAAGAATCGAACTTAAAGTTCCGAATGGTGTTTCTGCCGAATAAGAGCTATTTATCTGGGAGATAATTTTGTCAGGTGGTGAAAAGACACCATTTGACGTTATCCAGCAGATAAAAATTATCAGGAACTTTATCAGGAGGTGAAAAGACCGGCCCTAAAATTTGCAGTTGTCCTGGATCAATGTTTTCAGGTGCAAGAGGTGGTGGTGCATTTGCTTGATTAGCAATGTTATGCAGAACTGCACAAGCCACAATAGCTGGTAACGTTGTCTCCAATTTCAGGCGTAAACCATATGCTAACACTGGGAAGCAACGTTTCCACACACCAACCGTCCCACCACATTTCTAGTATGAATATGGCATGTTTGGTAACGATGTTCTGCTTGAGTACGTGGGTTGGTTAAAGGTGTAAAAAAATAAGACCTCACAGGATATCACCTGAAAATTACTGGGTCATAATTTTTTTACAGGCTATAAATTTATAACAAACCAAGTAATAAATTGTCTGGAAATTCATTATTTTCAAAACGTGCCCTGATACGGCTGTTGTTAAAAATGGTCGAGTCATGTGCTGACCCTGGCCATCTTACCACAATATCTTCTATATTTAATTCAGCATCAGACACGCACTGAACATTAATAGAAAAATATGTTTTTCTATTTCTGAACACTTCTTCATCGTTCCCTCCTGGCGATTGAATTTTAACATGTGTTCCATCAACCGCCCCCAACACTCTTGGAAATTCAGCAATATCAAAAAACTTTTGTTGTGTTGCTGCTATCTTTGCAGGAGTATCAGGCATTTTTATAAAACGATTCTCTAGCGACGGCTACAGAAACCTTTTTTACTATGCGTGACACAGTAGATACATGCATCCCTTGTACATCAGCAATTGTTTGTAAATATCCTGCTGATGCAAAAAACCGCAAGCATGTTAACAGCTGGTTAATTGGACTTACACTATTATTCCTGAAAGTTAACATTTGTTAGGTATTACAGCGATAACTACACAAGTGTTTTTTATTTACATGTCTGATGGAAATTCTAACTGATTCTCAATTAAGTCCAGCATGTCCAGAACTGTTTCTTTGGTTAATCTATACCGCCTATAAAATCCCCAGTTGTCCAAAGACTCGAAGGCATTTGCTCTGTTATAGATTCTTCTTGGAAAACCTTGATCAAAAATTTCCAAAATGTCCAAATCATCTTCAAAAATGTCATAATCTCTTGGATTCATTTGTTGTATTAAATAAAATCACGTTCTTTGGGAGAAATACAAGATACTTATGATACACACTCTGTTTACCAGTCATTGTTTACAAAAACAGCTTCTGTTTGACACATGGCGTACCTAACATTTGGGTGGAGAGACAAATAAAAGGAACATGCGCAAATCTACACTTAACGTTTTAAGTCTAGAAATTTGCAGGCTTAAATTTAACTCCGGAAAATCCGTTTTAAGTCTCAATCCATCAATGGTGCAACTGAAATCTACAAATTTAGGCCAGACTTAAAGTTAAGCTTGGCTTAGTACATGCGGTGCAACCGGCCATTTAGAATTACAAATTTGGTTAGATGATCTTGATAAACTACAATAAATTTAAATTCTCCATCCGCTTGAGATTGAAAATCAATCAAATCCACTTGGCATCTTGAATTAAAATGTGAAAAAACCATTGGCTTAACTACCAAACCCTTTTTCTCACTTTTCCGCTTTTTCAAACATAACTCGCACAGATTTAAAAATATTTGAATGTCTTGTGTAGTAATATTCTTGTAGCGTTGTTGTACTTCCTTTTTCATCCTATCACGGCCACCATGGCCAATTGATACATGGGTCTCGTATAATATGTCAAATAAATCTTCAGTAACCACGTAATATAATACCCTTTCTGTGGTTAACGGGGCAATCAGTTTTTCTACCCCATTAACAGATATTATATCGTAATGTTTTAGTAACCAAAAATCCTGATTTTCTTTCTTTGGCATAGTTTTTGCATTTTTCATTTCTGCCTTTAACTTTAGATATTTTTCTAAATTCATCCGAAAACTGTTGGGTTTTTGCGGGATTTTTTCAATGCGTTCATAAAACTTTGTTTTTATTGCAGTTTTATCCATTGTAGATAATATTAAATTAACACTTAATATGTACTACACAGCACACAAAAACAATAAATCACAAATACCGCTAAAACATCAGTAGGTACAATGTGGGGTTATGTCACCATGTATTATTTGGTGCATACTTTGACTAAGCGGGAACCGTTAATGTATACATTGACTAGTTAAAGCTTACACATCGTCCATTGTGAACACATTTACTGAGCAAATCAGTCAATGCATACATTGGCTAGTCAGTGTATACATTGACGGAATGAACACTTTGACTGTAACATATACATATAGATTCCAAAAATGTGTAAGTCATGTAAGTAAGTGCACTACATTTTTCTCTATTATAATATACTATATATACTATTTTCATTGGAGATACCACCCACATAAAACTTTATGACAGATAATGAGTGAAACCCCTGCACAATGGCAACAGTAATTTATTGCTTTTAACACCCTATACGACCAGATATAGGCACGTTCCGGCAGAATTTTTCAGGGCCGTACTCTGTTAAAAGAATAAGGTGAAATAATAGACAAATTGTATTAGTTAAATAATATTTATAAGATTATAAGTCACTTTCAGACTCAGATGAGTCGTTATTTATTGAAATTATAATTTCGTTAAGCCGTGTATTTACAAATGTTGAGTCAACTTTTGTAACATGTCGAATGCAATTCTGCCATTTTTCAGAAGATATGAATTCTGATTGTTGTCTAATGAGATTTACTACAGCGGGAGAACTTTCTGGATGGTTATTATATTTTCTCATATTTCTTTTTAAGTCACTCCATATTAACTCTATCGGGATAAAAATGCAAAAATAAGGTGGTAATCTCAAAACCTCACAACCTCTTGATCGCGCCATTTCATCTGTTATATGTTTTTTGAAAATGTTGAGTAGCAACTAGTTGGAGCAGTTGTTTTTTTGTTTTTGATTCTGGTGGAATTGGCACTTTCTTCCTTTCAAGAAATTCCAAAATTTCCATTTTTCTGAAGGATGTATTCGGCACCTTTTCCAGCAATCTTGAGTGTGACGGGGCATTATCCATTACGATGACGGTTCCTTCTGGAATATTCTTTAATAATTGCTCTTGAAACCATTTTTCAAATAAGGCCCCGGTCATTTCCTCGTGATAACCAGCGCTACAATTTTTAATTTCTTTTGCAGAAATTAGGGCACCATTGGTGACGCATCTGTTTTCCCCACCCACATGCAAAATTATCACTCTGTTACCACGTGATGGTTGGGCTTTTAACACGGACTTTGACGAAGAATCACTCAAACCTTTAGTTTTAACAGCATGTGTGTCGAACCATGTTTCATCTAAGTACACTATTATTACGATTAAGTCTGCGGAATTCCCTAATTTTCTCAAGATATATGGTTCTAAGTCGAATTATTCTTTCGGATTCCATTATATATTGACGGCGATTCAGTTTTTTGAATGTATAATCCATGTCTGATAGCAATTTCCTAAAAATTGATAACTATTACATACATTTATATCGTCATTGTACTAAGAAGTAACATACCGAAACTGGCTCATCTTATACGGTATTATAATTCCATCTTCGGAAAGTTCTTCAAAAACGGAACTTGCAGTTGGAATGAAATTTCTTGCGTATGACCCATATATTTTAGATATAATCGCTTCCTTCATTCCCTCGGTTACTCGTTGAAAAGATTTTCTTTTAAGTACAGTTGGTGCTTGATTTCTTTTCTTTAGCACCGTCTTGATAGTATTTGTAGAAATTTTCAATAAGTCAGAAGCTCTAGGCACTGGTGATTATTATGATTCTCGGAAATAAGAGTGTCATAACAGGAAATAATTAATTCCTTAGCATCATTCGATAGAGTTTGCGCTCTTCGTTTTTTAATAGGAATCTCTTCGTCTTCAGAACTAGTTAAAATAATGGCTTCGTCGTTACATGAAGGGCGCTGACTATCTGAAGCATCCAAAATGTTTTCGAAGTCCACGGGTCTCCATCCAAATTGCCATTATTTTTAGGAATATTCACTCTATCTATAATAGCAAAAATTAGTTATCTGTGTATATAAAAAAGAAAAAAAGTTGTCAATAACTTACCGCCAAAATCAAATCCAGTAAAATATAAAGCATTGAAAAATACTATTTTTAGTATTGAAAAATACTGTTTTTATAAAGCAAAGAAACTGTAACAGACACTAAAAAATAACGACCTACAAGTAAGACGTGAAATCAGTTATTGAAATGAAGACCACTTCAAATCTACCCAAAGTACCTTTTGGGAATTTGAGTAAACAAGTTCATTACCGAAAGCAGGTAAAACTTTCAACTCAACCCGAATACGGCTCTGTATAAAATGACCTGTCAAACCTTTTTCATAATTTATGGTTGCGGTTTCAGGAGCACCGCTTTTTGAGTGATTGGTCCCATAAAAATTTATGTGGGTGTATCTCGAATACGGTTACTATACTTCACCAGTCATATAAACATTGCCCAGCAAGAACCAACGGGGAGGTGTAGAGTCATCTCTTGCCTAAAATGTTGCTCCAACAACTGAGCAAAATTAACATTAATTCTTTGATAAAAAGTATTAATAAAATAAACATGTGTACAGTCATGCAGTGGTTAAATAATAAAAAATAATATAACAACATAATATAATATAACATAACAAAATAAAAGAAACATATAAAAATTCTTATAAATCAACAAAAATAATGTTCTAATACAATAAAGAAATATGT